GTCTTTGCCGAGTGCCATAGGCAAGGCACTCGACAAAGTTTTTCAAAAAAAATCCAGAAATTCTTTGCCGAGTGCCTGGGCTGGGGCACTCGGCAAAGTATTTTTTTTAAAAAAATAAAAAAACTTTGCCGAGTGCCTGGCCAGGGGCACTTGGCAAAGTATTTTTTTTAAAAAAAATTCAGAAATTCTTTGCCGAGTGCCTAAATAGGGACACTTGGCAAAGAAATTATTTAAAAAAAATAAAAAAAACCTTTGCCGAGTGGCTGGACAGGAGCACTCGGCAAAGTATTTTTTTTTAAAAAAAATTAAAAAAACCTTTGCCGAGTGCCTGGACTTGGGCACTCGGCAAAGTAATTTTTTTAAAAAAATATTTTTTTTGCCGAGTGCTGGGTCAGGCCCTCAGCAAAATAACCGTTAACGGCCGAAGCGCAACAGCCAAAAATATTTTGCCGAGTGCCGCCCCAAGCACTCGGCAAAATTGTTTTTTATTTTGCCGAGTGCCCCGATAAAAAGCACTCGGCAAAGACCCTTTGCCGAGAAAAATTTTGCCGAGCGGACTTTGCCGAGTGCTACACTCGGCAAAGTCTTTGCCGAGTGCAAAGGGCTCTTTGCCGAGTGTAAAAACACTCGGCAAAGCCGCGGCCTCCAGTAGTGAGCCCACTTGAGATTGTGTTTTGTTTCACACATGTAGTCGGGTTGAGGAGTCAACTAACTCTAACTACCAAACCGAGATTGTGTTTGGTTGTTGGCTAGCCTCGGCCAGGCCCATAGTCAGGATGCAAAAATGCAGATATAGCAATGGAATGAGCAAGAGTTTGAACAAGTAAACCATACAATTAGCACTAGGCCTCAGACAAATTAGGTAAATAACCATGGAGTCATAGCTGCTCTAAATTTATAAAGTACCAATGAAGTAAGGCAAAATAACAACATGAACAGCCTAATCAGTAAGCACCAGTACTTGATCAATAGATAGGAGATAGGTAACGGAAATTGATTACACAAATTAGTAAGTGGGACAGCTCATCTATCATCTAGTTGTAGTCATCACAGGCCTAAGTGGGGCAGCCGTAGTGCCTAGTATTGCCCACCTTCATCCATAGTCCAAATAGCAAGATAACAAGTGAGATGATTAACACATTCTTCCACCAACCAGTCTTACCATTACTGTGGGTGACCGTCGCGTTAATCCACCTAAATCGAGTGTCGACCACTTGACCCCTCAATTTAAGCAAACCAACAACGAGGTCCCCAGGAGCGCACGTGGCAACTTCTCTCCAGGATCAGTTCGAGAGAGAGAATACATCACAACAGTGCTTAGATCACATTACAAGTTCAAAGCATTAAAGTTTACAAGACTTGGTTCACACACTTTGTTCATCACACGATCACACATTACAGTCTACATCGAAGACTAGCGGAAGTCTTTCAACATAACATAGTTCATGATAACGGATACATAGGTGTGCCACATCCATGTACCTACGGAACACAAGATCCTTCACCACTCCTGATCCGACGAGGGGTCGGGAGCATAGAAGAATCCATGCATAGGGGCTACGATACCTGCAAAACTTAAGATCACACAGGGTGAGTACTCGAGTGTACTCCGTAGGACTTACCCAATATAGTAAACAAGGATTATGCATTTGGATAGTAGAAAGGAATGCACAACTTTACATAAAAGCATTTATACTGTAAAGTAAAGGTGGTCTATGACGTAGCAGTTATTAAGCATAGCATAGGTAATCAAGTTAAGCATTAACAAGCGGGAACTCGATCTTCCACGAGTTCTGAATTCCAATCTCATCTCTAGTCCGTATCTAGAAGTAAAACTTATTGCTTTCAATTTTTATACTATGCAGAGGGGTACAAGTTAACCCCACTCGAAACAAGGGATATCGCCCATAAGACCCGTCGGTACAGAAGGGATATCTCGATGCCTCAACATTTCCCCAACCCGGCCATGATGTCCGACGAAAGGTTCGACTGGATGCCCGGTCAATGTCCCGGACATTTCCGACCGACGCCATCCCCCTTGTCAGTTTCATGAATAAGACGGTTGCAATCAGTTACTTGGCTTGTCTCCCCCATTGGCGACAAGTGGTATGTACAGTTTTATGTTCCCAGGAGTCTTCCCATAGAAAACCACATAGCAACTGGCCATTTCTGTGAAATGAAAGAGTGGTTTAGCCTCAGTCAAATATAATGCATGAAACTAGCCATGAGTGTGGAACTTGAAGATCTACGGTTTGTGATAAAACAAATCGTTGATCTCAAGTCCCTCACTGATGACCAACATCATCAGGTTCAAATCAACAACTATGACATCACAGGCATTATAACAAAACATTGGCCTCAACTTTAGAATCTAGTGGTGTAATTCATTAGTTAAATGATTGGTGGCTGCCATACAAATAAAAAACCAGTACAACAACAAGTTACAAACTGCAAGCAATAGAAGAACCAAACAAGTGCAAATCCAAGGTCATGGCTGCCATGGAACCCTTGTGCACGTCCATTCACTGCCATCAGCACAAGAAAGAAGGGGCTGTTGCTAGGGAATAGACGTGTCACATGGGTTTGATGACATACATGACAAATCACAAGAATCAAGTAAACAGGGCATCCACTTCATGTAAAATTTTGCATCATAGGCCATTTAAAAATCCCACAGTTGCCACCAATCCAAAGAAACAAAACCAACAGTTCAGAAGTAAGAGATTAAACAACAAATAGTCTCAAATAAAGTAGTCAACAGAGGCTACAAATAGTCAATTACAACAACAGGTTCTGCCCAACAGTTCTGGGCTCAAATGCCTACCATGGTGCCCTCTAGCACATATAGTTAGCCACCCTCCCAGTAAACAAAGCAAAGGACAGGTGTGAGTCAGCTAAGTAAGCTGCACAAAATACATATAGGAAAGTGTGCTCAACTGTAGTCAAAAGAAGAGAGGGTGGGTGAGGGAGGTGGAGGAACTATATATCTCAACAGTCAACCCCCTCATTAGCCATGCAGCCCAGCAGGAAATGCAACTACATGTAGTAGTTCTTGGCTAGGTAGTTCCTTAGCCAAATGTCCCAGAACTATCAAATCAAACCATAATCCATCGAGGAACAACAAGTACTACTCAAATCAGATGAATGAATCATGAAAACCAACTACGATATGAAACCCTAACATCATCGCCATCAAGAAGTAGGGAGGATTGGGGGTCGATTTCACCTCGAGGTCGGTGTCGGCGAAAGGAGCGGCGCAGCAGGAAGAAGAAGAAGACCCGGCGAGGTAGAGGAAGCAGATCCGGCCGGAGAGGAAGCAGATCGGACCGGAAGAACAGCTTCAGCACCACCGCACCAACAGAAGAAGAGGAAAGAAGACGACCGCCTCCACGGAGTCCCCGCGGTCGACGGAGCGGCGCCGCGTCGTAGCAGATCCAAGGCGGGGGGACGAAGACGAAGCCCGCCTGGGGAGGACGCCGCCGCGACGCACACCAGCTCACCACCACCGCCGGCATCTCACGTGGCTAGAGGAAGGCGAAGAGCAGGGAGAGGAAGGAAGGAGAAGCAACAACAAGGGCCACTTAAAAAGGCAGAGGATTTCGCTGGTGGGGAGAGCGCGCGCGGAGCTTTCCACCTTCCCACGCGAGCCTGCGCGAGCCAACCCGCGGTCGCCGAAATCGCCCCCAAATCACCTACGCAGCGCCGCTTGCAGCCGCGCCCGGGAGAAACGAATCCTCGGAGCCAGGCGCTTGGGGCCGTTTTGCGCCCTGCCGGTCGGGCTGCATCCTGGGCCAACGCTCCCAAACACGGGAGTTGCAGCCCACGAGCGCGGCCGGGCTCCTAGGCCACCCTCTCAAACTGGCCCTAGCAATATGGAACAACACCTGTTTGTTGTCCTGTTGACCTCAGATTAATATCATATCATAGGTGTGTTTGGTTGGTTGTATCCCCTCCATCCTGCTGACTTGTATAAGCGGATGCAAAACTACGCCCTCTACAAAAATGACAAACTATGCAACCTAAGATCCTGGTTTTCGGGTCCCACTTTATCGTCCTTGGTTTCATCATCTCCGTTTGGTGTCGCAAACGTTGTTGTATTATGGCAGATACCTGAAACAGAAGGTGAAAATTTAGAAACATTTGTCTAGCTCTCTATAGAGAAACAAGCACTAGTTTGAGAATAGTGGCACCATTGAGTCCATTGGGGACACCGAGGATGCAGGGATGGATAGTTTAGTCGCCCATGCAGGTTCATCAGATTACATGGTGAACATTGTGAATGGTCAATCCAAAACATCACGGCAAACAGTACTTTGAGTAGTTCGATACTGTTTTTAATTAGTATTTTTTATAACCTGCGAGACTACTAATAATATGAATCCATTTTGATTTTAAGCCTAGTGGACTCATGAACAGGTTGGAAAACATCTGCCAGAGCGAGCCGGCCGGCGATGACTCTTCCGATTGCAGAAGTAGGTCGTGTGGGCTAGTTTTAATGTCTACCGAAAACACGGCATTTTCCCATAAACAAAAAACTCCATTTCAGTCGACTAGTTTGCGTTTTGTTTACAGTAAAGCAAGTGCCATGCATCATGCATGACAATTGAGCTCGGCAAAAACGACGAACGAGACGCATAGGAAGCACAGCAACCGGCCCGTTTCATCCAAAGTTCAAATCGGCCTTAGTAAATTTGGCAGCATATATGGTCGCATAGCTAGACTGAGAAAACAAGTCACTATTTTGTCATTTGTCACATACGTGACGCTGCATGAGAAACAGCTATTCCCATGCTGCTCATCATCGATATATAGCTGCTGTCTATATATACCTACCTACCAACATTTCGGTCGCTTGGCATATATGTCAAGAACAAGACTTTTACCGACAGCAAACTGCTGCTAGAAATTTTTGCAATCGCTTACTACCTTGTGCATCTTGGGACACACTGTAGTTCAGTAGTTGGTGGCGAGAGGAATTGAATCCATCGATTCGATTCAGCATGACGAAGAACAAGTCAGGTGCATCCAACTACCTGTGCATGGCACCGATCTTTAGCTCCTGCGTCTCCTCCTGCAAGCAGCAGCCGTCAAGCGACGCCGCCAGGAGCCGCCTGAGCTTCTCCTTCCCGGAGCGCCGGCAGCAGCAGCAGCAGCTGCAGCCGGCGGCGGCGACGGAGGAGCAGAGCAACTCGGAGAGCATCATCGACCCTGCCGCCTCGGTCATCGCCAGGAAGGAGAAGCAGAAGGACGGCGGCAAGCACTGCACCGTCATCGTGGGCACCATCTTCGGCCGCCGCGCCGAAGGCGTCACCTTCTGCGTGCAGCGCGACGCCGCGGTGCCGCCGCCGTTCCTCTTCGAGCTCTCCGTGCCCATGCAGTCCCTCGCTACTGAGATGGGCTCCGGTCTCCTCCGCATCGCGCTCGAGTGCCACCGCACTGGCACCGGTGGCACCGGCGGCGGCCAGAGCAGCCGGAACGTGTGGAAGGCGTCCTGCAACGGGCGCGACGTGGGGCACGCCGTGCGGCGGCGGCCGACGGAGTGGGACGGCCGCGTGCTGGAGAGCATGCGCACCATGACGACCGGCGTCGGCGCGCTCCCGCCCGCGGTGGCGCTGGAAGGGCCCAACGGTGAGGGAAACACGCAGCAGGACGGCGCCGGCAGCGGCGCCGGGGAGGTGCTGTACATGCGAGCGACGTACGAGAGGGTCGTGGGCTCCAGGGACGCCGTGTCGTACCACCTCATTAACCCCGGCGGCACCGGCGGCGGCAGCCCACCGCAGGAGCTTAGCGTCTTCTTGCTGCGGACCAGGGGTGGCTGAGATCACCGACTAGTACATGTCTATGTATGCATCACGATTCACGAACGTTTATTACAGTTACACATGTATATGTATATATAATAATAATAATAATAATAATAATAGTTGGTGCAGCTGTTGATACCTGCTCTTAATAATCAATTCATAAATCAAAATCATCATGCAGTACATAGTTTTTAACTCATATTTCTACTTTATCTGCCGCTACTAGAATGTTAGCATTGGCCGAGTGGTGAGATTTCAGAGCATACTCTGATTACAAACGCATGGTTTGATGGTTATTATGTACAGGCTGTCTGCCAAACTCTAACCTACAGTGCATTGTGGGCTTGTGGCAGGCTACAGATACTAACAGTCAGCTCATAACAATTTTTTTTAATGAAAGTCTGCTCCTAACATTTGTATAGAGCTATCACAGCTTACTGATGATGGATGTGGCCAGGTGCATATCTGAGGCAAGCAGTCTGAAATTGCAACAGAGATTACATTTGGATTTAAGATGGCAAATTGTTGATTGATGCACAGAACTCATCTATCATCTGAATTTCTGAAACCAGTCAAATAATACTGCATTGCGTGTGCCACATAGCTCCACAAACCGATGAAGGTAATTAGGCAAATGCTTTCCTGTGGTAGAGCCACTAGTAGTACCTAATTGACAGATAGCAGCCTAACAAATCATCAGAAGAGAAATTTGCAGTGACTACAAGGCCTGAGAACACGGGAAAAAAAAGGATGGAATCAACAAATAAATTTCCCCATGGACAATTGCACAAATCGTGAAAATCAACCCCAAATGAGGGACGAGATTCAGGTAAGGGGTCGATTACTAGTTGAAACTGGATGATGAACACAGTACAAAGAGAAAAGAGAGGGAGCAAACCGACACGCGACACCTGTCGCAGGCCATGATGTGAGCCAATATGTTGTGGACGCATCAGACTGGAGTATTAGAAACTTCATCCAGAGCATTTGGTATTTTGTCCGTAACAAGGTTTTGCTAAATTACTTATTAGAGAGGGTGATTTTAAGTTGCGTAACAATTATAACTGACTTAAATACACCTTGTGACAGAAGGAAAAAATAGGGGAAAATATCAGGCAGTAAATAAAATCTTCAACGGTGATTGTAATTGGAACAAAAAATTGATGAACTCTAATAAGGTCAAATCGGATAGACATAGACCAAATATTCTCTTTATATGAAGTTTTGGTAAAATCCTTTACAGAAAAGTACAATTGCAATGAATTATACATACAGATAGAGGATGTGTGGCATGGACCACTACAGTTAAAGCAATTGATAAAAGATCCTAGGGACTGGCTAGAGCAATATACATGAACAGAGCAACTTGAAAACATCAAAACTTGATGGATAAAGTCAGATTCATTATTTTCCTTCTAGAACTCCTGCAAAGCATGGCCATTAACAACTCTATAACATAAGTAATCCAAAGATAGAAGCACGTAGATTTTAAGTTCACAGTATCTCACGGCAGAGTCAGCTCGAAAGCACAAGCATGGATGGATGTATTATTTGAAAAGAATGAAGCAATTTATTTGAAAAAAAGAAAAGTATATACCTGCTGTTATTTTCAGTATTTATCAAGTCACAAATGGGGAAAAGAACAGCTATAGAACTATTAGTGCACAGGGAATCACACACACACAAAAAAAGATACATACATGAAGGTCCGCCATTTTTAGAAGCCACCAATTCAGATACCCTGAAATTTTATCATTTTATTTTGCTGCATAAGGTACAGCTTGAACTGACACTGCACAGTTACATACCTCGAAGTCCACCATTTTGTTGAGAGGCCACCAATTCAGATAATCTGAAACTATATCATTTTATTTTCATGCATAAGGTCTTGAAGCCAGCATGACCAAACCAATAATCTAATTGAACAGGCACATATCCATGATACACGCTAAAGCGAGATGATTTTCCATAGACCCTTAAAAAGCGTAGTTACAGGGAAGTATATTTTTCTCAGCAGAAATGCATATTGTTCTACAGGCTATACAGATTTTACTGTTCAAGAAGGGCTATGTTGAAGTTCAGCATGACAGAGCCCATAATAATAATGACTCAATCAACCAAGATGGTATGTTTTGTATGTACAGAATAGAGATCACTTCGGAGGTAATCACTGTATACATAGAACCGAGCACAAAAAAAAATCACAACAAACTGATTGCTGTTGTGTTTGGGCTTTTGCCCATCCACTACATAAGACTCTTTGCCAGATAGGCAGAGCTGGTGCTAATACAATCACCTCAGAAACAAATTAGACCGATCCTACTTGAAAAAAACAGATGCAAAACAATGTAATTAAAGATATATGGCGCGCCGAATCGGCGGCCTCCCAGATTGTCCACGTACGTTCTATTTAGGTGGTGCGTTAGATCGAAATTCCACGACTCAGATAAGGCGCGTCACAGACAGCCTTCATGCATCCCTTCCGTACTATCGTCGAATAACAACAAGTCGGATAGATGAACATTTAATGCCTCTCCTCTTTACCCACCGACCATGCTTGTACGCTCAGCACTGGATGGGCCACCGACCATGCACCGACTGGCATGGCTTCCATCCTGTCCCCGTCTCCGGTTCTTATCCCATCCCTGTCTCCTTTTCTCAGTCGCACATGCACCTGAACCCGCCGCCTCCAACCCTACCCAGACGAGCTCCACCTCGCCGCCGGCACCGTCCCTCCCCCGGCGGCCTCCCCCTCCTCTGCTCCTCCCTCCTTACCCCTGCAACCCTGGCCCCGACAAGCTCCACGACCCTGTCACCGCCGCAGCCGCCCTCCTCGCCGTCGCCTCCTGCCACGGTCTCTTCGACCTCCCCTGCGTCGGTCTCCCCCTCCCCGGCACCTCGCCCTGGTGCAGCCCCGCTGCAGGGGAGCACAGCAGGCGGCAGGACTGGCGCCGCCCCAGCTTTGCGGCGCGGCCGCACGGACGCGCACAGGCGGTTGCCGCCTCCCGTGCGACCTCCGCCGTCCGCTCAGCGCGGCACCGTGGCACCACCACCGGACCGCGACACCGCCTGCGCCTTCTGACGGTCGTGCGGTGTGGCACCGCTTCACCACTCTCACCTGGCTGCGCACCGCTCCAGCCCCGCGGCCCCGCCCCAACCGAGGGAAAATCCGCCGGTTCCCGCGCAACCCGCCGGAGCGCCACGGCGCAGCAGCACCGCCGCTGGCCCGCGACCCCGCTAGAACGCGGAACCGCCTGTGCCCCTCCCGCCGCCTCGCCGAGCCTCCCAAGACGCCCTCCCCATCCAAGACCACCTACAGCGACCGCTTCATCCCCTGCCGCTTCTCCTCCCGCCTCCAGAACTTCGCGGTCCTCGACTCCCCTCTCTCCCCGGCCAAGGACGACACGCCCTACTCCCGCCTCCTCCGCGTCAAGCTCTTCGGCCCCGATTCGTCCAAACCCACCACCGCCACCTCCGCAGCATCCGCCTCGCCCAACACCAACCTCTTCCGCTTCAAGAAAGACCACTCCGCGCCCACCTCCCCCTTCGCCAAAGCCGCCGCCGCCGCGTACCATGACTGCACCGCGGGCTCCGGAGACGCGCCGTCGCCGCAGAAGCCACCCAGGAAGGTCCCCAAGACGCCGCATAAGGTAGGCAACACAGCTTCATTTCCTTCTTTACTCCTTGACAATCCCACAAACACCTCGTGGGCAGGCCAGCTGATTAGTTCTGCCGCGCCTCTACGTACGCCACCAGGTCCTGGACGCGCCCTCCCTGCAGGACGACTTCTACCTCAACCTCGTGGACTGGTCCTCGCAGAACGTGCTTGCCGTCGGCCTCGGCACCTGCGTCTACCTATGGTCTGCGTCCAATAGCAAGGTACTGTCTCATCTATACAAACAAGATTGCTGCTGTATACTGTATGCGTATGTACTATATTATGATAATGATACTGATGGATTGGATGACACCCCCTAACCCACCAAACAACATCCAGGTCACTAAGCTCTGCGATTTGGGGCCCAGGGACAGCGTCTGCGCCGTGCATTGGTCACGGGAAGGCTCTTATCTTTCCATTGGCACCGGCCTTGGAGATGTCCAGGTTTGCCTTGCTTTGCTTTCTCCATTACCATGCCGCTACTGCAGTAGCAGTCAGTTCAAACCTAGTACCAAATGGAAAATGTTCAGATTATTCACTAGTGGAGTTCCTTATCTGAAAATCTGGACTGATATATCTCACGTGGTTCACAACTGCACAATAATGCATTCAACCAAAAATTTAATCACAGGTTACACTTTACATAGAGCTAAAAGTTGCAGCTTTATTTAGCTAGCAGCTTAATATGGCATCACATATGAATTGCTTCATTTGGTATGACGTATGACCGTACAGATACACGCTTATTCGGACAACTTGTCTGACAACCAGTTTACACCCCTGACTCAAACGTGCCAGATTTCATCGCAAATTTCAAATTCTTAGGGGGTGTTTGGATATTCCATGGATATGATGTATTGACGTATAGGTGACTCTGATACTTGAACAGATTTGGGACAGTTCTCGCTGTAAACGGATTAGAAATATGGGAGGTCACCAAACACGGACTGGAGTATTGGCATGGAGCTCATGCATCTTGTCCTCAGGCAGCAGGGACAAGAACATATTGCAGCATGACATCCGCGTCCCCAGTGACTATATCAGCAAGTTTTGTGGTCATAGATCAGAGGTGAGATTTCCACAACATAAATAGCGTCCTGGCAAATATTTCAGCCACTGTGCAAAATTAAAAAGCATCTTGTCTGAGGGTTTTGGATCTCAGACCTTTGTGTGAACGTAATTGTCAGGTTTGTGGACTCAAATGGTCGCATGACGACCGTGAGCTTGCCTCGTGCGGAAATGACAACCAGTTATTAGTGTGGAACCAACGATCGCAACAGCCATTGTTGCGGTTGACAGAACATACAGCTGCTGTTAAAGCAATAGCGTGGTCACCACATCAGCAAGGACTCCTGGC